CCAGGTGAAAACATGGAAGCCTTGGAGGTCGGGGAGATGGCTCAGTGGAATAAGTGCTTCCCTGGCAAGCGCAAGGGCCTGAGTTCAATCCCTGGTTCCGGTTTTAAAAAAAAAAAAAAAAAATTGAAAAAAGATAAAGAAAACATGGAAGCTTTGCGTGGCTTGTCACTGGCTCCAATGTGGACAGAGGGAAGATGTGCTCTGCCTGCCAGAGGAAGGGTGAGCTTCTGGGTGGGCTGCATTTTGAAACCATCCCTGTCACCAGTGATTAACAGAAACCACAAAAACTACATTTATGGTGCCCACTGTCCGAAGATTTCAGCAGAACTGAAAAATAAATGTGTAGTTTCCACTGAGCAGGAGGGGAGTGGCAGGGCTGCCTTGTCAGATGCTGCAGTTCAGTACGCCACACCCTCAGAGGCAGGGCAACAGTGGCAGAGTGACCAGGCTCAAGGGAAATGTGACATAAACACAAAGGTGTTACTGAATGCACACAGGACTGTGGCACAAAGGCAGAGAAAAGGGAGCTAGTTGTTTCTTGGGAGACAGCGATACAAAGGGCACAGCCAATGCCCTTAGGAGGGACAGCGGGAACTTCCTGAGAAGGGAAGACCCACACAAGCAGAGGTGGATGCCTATCCCTGGCCAGCAGGGCTCCTCTTTACTAGGGTGGGCATGGCAAGAGGCAAGAGGGTGAGAAGCCAGGGAAAAGTGCAGCCAGCGTCTTCCCAGACAATACCATACTTGATGGGACAGCAGAAGGAAGTCTTTAGGAAAAAACTGTGGACAGTCTAAGGTAGAAATACAAAAATTCAGAGAAATAACCCCACTGTGGTAGGAGCCAGGGGAGTGGACATTTGCAAAGACTAGTTATAAAATAAACCAAGTCAGGTGTTGGAAAGGAACAGTCAAGAAGCCTGAGTGAAGGGAGAGGCAATTAGCTGAGGCAGAAGGCGCGGCAGGGCTGGCAGTGCTCTCCCACCTGCGCTGGGTGATGGAGGGCAGGAAGCACTAACAGGCGCTGCCACAGGAGACGGAATCGCACTGGAGCTAGGGTGTCAGGGAAGGCCACTGCCTTTCAGGTGGCACAAATTAGCCCCTGGGATCGGCAGGCGCAGATGGATGCTAAGCCACCACGCCATAAATCGCCACACAGCCAAACAATCAGAAATCACCTCTGTAATAGCCTCCTAATAGGGAGGCAGACCCAAATTTACAAGCCTGGGTTTCAAGGAAACGAAGCAGGTGGTAATAACGGTATTTTACCACTTCTCTTCCAGCACCTGTTTTCATCCAACTATAATATTTAAGATATTTACATTTTGAGAGGTCTTTCTTCCAATTCCAACTTACCTATACTAAGATTTGAATATGCCCTTGACTGTTTTCACAATGTTCATTTTATTTTTGTTTGGAATTATTTTCTTTGGGATCAAGAAGTAATATGCATATGTACCTGTTCCCAGTGATGAAGTGTAGATACTCTGCATTGCAAACATATACTAATAAAAAAGAAGAGAAATGTTCATTTTATTAAAGATCCCATGAAAACTGTGCTACAGCTTTTAAGTCTTCTTCTTAGAGTCTTGTCAAGTGTGAGATTAGCCAGAATGCCTCATCCTGGGAATTGAAAGTGAGTTTCCAGACCTCGGGCACTCCACTCTGACCCCCCTGCAGCTGAGGCAGGGTGGTGATCAGCTGGGCACTGGGCACTGCATGAGGGGCCACAAGAGGGCCATTTTTGGAATCCAGTCGAAGCCCCCATTTTCGTGAGAAGACGAGTTCTACTGTTGATAAATTGTTCTTCTCTGGAACAACAACGCACCTGAGTTCACTCAGAGCACAGCACTGGGTCACGTCAAAGGGCACACGAGGGGGAAGGGTGCACAGAACTCCAGGGTGAGGATAAAACACGCCGTCTTCCCTCACCAGCGCAAGGTGGGTGTTCAGCAGGACCAGGGACCGGCAGAGGCCACAGCCTGGCTCACCCTCAACTCTGACTGTTGTGTACAGCAACACCTGAACCTCTGCCAGAGAAGGTATCTCACCTTCCATATTGCCATGAAGAAAGTAAACCATATCAACCAAGGTGGTCTGGAATTTGGAGGACAACTTAACCCCACTTGCCAAAGCTAATGTGGGGATTTCTACTTTCCAATCAAGAGAAAGCTGAACCAAGTCTTGTTGCAGTAATGGATGGCTCGCACAGGCAAGGGCTTCAGCCTTTGACACCAGCACACACAGGAGATCCCGGCAGAGCTGCTGGGAGAGGCTTTTGCTGTAAGTGAATGCTGTGAGCAGGAGACCTTCTGTACAGCCCAGGAATCGGACACTCTGCCCGCCAAACCCAACCTGAATCTCCTGCAGTCTAGAGAGAGGCAGAGCATGAAAAATGCTCAGTGAGCCTGGGCAAGTATTTGCCAGGACCAAGGCATATAACGCTGTGGGAAGCAGGAGCAGGCATCCCGGCTGGGGCTCGGGGTGTGAGCAATTGGCAACAGCCAGCCAGTAAATGCCTCTGACTTCCTTCAGGCTGTCTGCAATGCCAGGCACAGCGGAAGTCACATGCTTCTGAAGGTCTCCAAAAGGGCATGCTTGCAATTTCAGCATGAGAGCTGGGAATGGCAGGAGGGTCTGTATAAATGCACAGCTCTGTCCAACATCTTCATACTGGAGGCAGAAAACCGAACTTGGTGAGGAGCCTGGTAAGCCCGCAGCCTTGAAGGCAGAGGCCACATAAGGCATGGCCGTCTTCACTGGCACGAGGCTCCCTATTTCTGCACTGCTACTGCCAAGCTGAGCTCCAGGAACACAGTGGAGTCCTGATGGTGCTACCTGTGACTCCAAGGGCAAGGCCTGGGGCAGCTGCTTCAGCACAGGCAGGCTTCGGAAGAATGCTGTCAGGTGCGAGGTAAGCCCACTTGGGGCACACACACTCCCCAAATGCATGACTCTGCTGATCACTGCGGTACCTGCATGCAGCAGGTGACTACTGCTGTCTTTATAAAGTTTTGAGAACTTGTGGTAAAAATATCCCAGGCCACTGTTGCCCTTGGACCTGATGTTTATCAGTGATGCTACAGAACTAATCTTTTCAGTAGCTAAGGCTTTCTCATCTTGCTCACCACAAACTGTGGTGACCAGGCCACTTGGAGAGGTGCTGCTAGATGCACACTCCTCCCAAGAAGCAGTGCCCGAGAGAACAAAGCACAGGGCCCCACTCAGCGGGGCCTGCATGCTTCTGCTGTCTGCAAGGGCTTGCTGGGATGTGCACTGCAGCCATGTCCAACTGGAATCAGGTGCCAAGCTGTCTTCATCCTTGGAAGTCACTGGCTTACTGAGATCTTCTGCCCTTCCCTGAAAATCCTCTGCAATAATGCTGGTCTCCTTCCCATTAAGAAAAGTGCTTCCAGGTAGATGAAGGCACTCTGGCTCCAGGTGGGGAGATCTTTGTTCAGGAAGATCTTTGCACCCACTGTTGGGCAGCACCTCAGCCCTGGAGGACAGATCCTGTCCCTCCTGTGATGATGTAGAGGACAGCCAGGAGGCTCTGGGGTCTGGGCTGCTCCCCAGCAGGTGATGGCTGCAGTGGCCGCTCAGTCCCACCTTTCTCCTCTCTTCTCTGATAACAACATGGGCAGTGTCAGTGGAGTCTTTGGATGGAAGACAGATGACACATTGTGCCGCCAGCTGAGACTGCCTTTTCTGTGCAACATGTCAAAAAAAAAAAGTTGAAATGGGCATGTAGTATCACTTCCTGTGACTTTTTTGCACATGATGATTCTTGTGGTTATTTATTTCATTGGGAGGAGTAATTTAGAGGTTGAGAGCCTAAGCCATTGATATTGATTGACACATGATTTAAAAAGATCTGATCTATACACAGCACATCAATGTCCATATTATGCATCTTATGAATTGCTGAGCACTTGATACAAGCACATAGTACAGGACTGATCCACAGTATCCATTTCTTGATCTCAGATTTTGTTCTCTCTGGAGTAAATTCCAAGGCTTTGCCTCCATGTTTAAAATGCCACACTTAGATGTGAAAATAAGTGCATGACTGTATGTAAGAAATGTAAAACCATCAGGGGATACATAAGGAAAATCTGAAGGCAAGGCCAAGGGGAGATCGCAGGTATTGCAACCCAGGTCATGCCTCCCTTTTATCCGTCTGTTTCATGGGGATCTTTACTTGTGTCCTTCCTTTCAGGTCACCATCATCAGGGAAGGCTTGCTGCAGACCTACTATGTGCCAGACACAAGGGACACAAAGACATAAACAGTGACGCTGTGCTCTGCCTGAGGGTACCTATGCCAGAGATGGGGCCCAGAAGGGCACAATGTCATTCCCAGGTGGTAGTCACCATCAAGTCAGTTATGCTCACAGTAGAACAGTCAACTTGGTGCTGTCTGTTCAGTAATATATGGACATTGGTGGGAGGGAACATTTCCACCACCCAGCACTTGTATTTTGTTTTCAAATCTGGAACTCGCAAGGACAGGCGCCACAGACAAGGAAAAAAATAAGCAAAATCTTACAAACTGTATGTCCGAATAAACATTAGTTTGAAAATCGACCAGAGCACTAAGCTAATGAATCAAGAATATTTTCTTTGTATTACTGCCAACTCATAGTCTATAAATGAAAAAGGTTTTTAAAACATGGTGAAGTACTCAGTTTCATTTCCAAACCTTGCATCTGATTATATAATTCTGCCTTTTAAATGCAGACCAAGGGAAAGGATACTGTTACAAAGGAAAGCCTGGGCAGAGCTCCACTACTGCTGCACGCCACTCAAGTGAAGCCAGAGCAGTTTTCAACCTGCAGGATCTCATTTAATTTTAAGTCCATATAATAGCTTGCTTTCCCCATTAGCCATTAATCTCACTGGGACTTCAAAATTCTAATTATGCAACTAAACATTAAGAAAATTTAATCACACAAGCATGCCATAATTTAAGCGACCCTATCAATCTGAAAAATCATTACCTACCTCATATTTTAGCTTACGTTGAATGGTGCCATTGTGAAGTTTCTCATTATCCTGAAAAGAAAATAAGAAGCCTTCTATATTAAATTATAGCATGTTCATAAAGGGGAGAAAAACTGATTCAATTAGAAGTATTTATGGGAACAAAATTCTGAAGAAATATACTTATCATTCAACAATGACAACCTTCTATAGAATTTATATGCCTAAGGTAAACAGGACTGTATAGATCCATCTGCCTGGAAGAGAACTGAACTATTTACTCCTAATCTTACAATTCTATAAACAATATTGCAAGGAAGATTTTCTTTATCTATTTCTTAATTTGCACATTAGAAATGAACTGTTTCACAAGTTGATAAAAATCTCTCAATGGGAAAAATGTATTTTTACTTTGAATAATTTAAAGTAAATTAAATACTTAAAAAATGGCTGTATTTTAGGAGAAAACAGATACATGTTACACATAGAATTTTGGTAAACCACACAAAATACAGTAAAGCATTTTAGGAGACTTTATATTCACTTAAGAGTTTTCTCAGAATTGCAAAATACAAATGAAGTTATTCTTGAATTAAAACTATGTGTAACATGTTAAGCTCAATCCAAGAAATATTTCATACGATTTGTTTCAATATCCCACACCTGAATTTTCTCTTAAGTACCAATAATGTAAGCCCTCATACTATCGCTGCCACCAGTAACTTACCAATGAGGTCATGTTCAAAAGCAAACAGTTCTTTCTGCTTACCTTCATCAGATCTGTAGAAGCATGTCTAGCATCACCAACTGAATGATACAAATCCTGAAGCCGTCTTTGGACTTCCTCTTCAATGTAAGCATTGATTCTGAAAACCACGGAGAGGGGACAAATTTGAACATCTCTAACTACACGTGATTACTATGTCTCTCTTTATGACACTGCAACAATAGGAAGTTTTACCATTCTAAATGCAATACATAAAAACTTAGGATCATAAACAATTTTCTCCTATGCAAGAAACCTAGTGCCATGCATTCACTATTTGCTTTCCCCCCAAAGAAGGAAAAGTTAAATGAAAAAACAGTATACTGAGTCAGGAAAAGAGACTAAGACACCTGGACCGAACCTGCTCTGGATTGCCCCTTGGAAGCCTACTGCAGGAAAGGAGAGAGTTACAGTCGTAATGTGGGAAGCCCTGTGACTACCATATCTGAGTCTAAGACACAATACTTGGTCTCCTCACACAGAAAAGGATGCTGCAGATTTCTCAATCATGTCATTTATGAGGATTATAAAATATTGAAGGTGTATAGCCTAAGGAAGGAAAATGTCATAGATTGCTGTGTTGCTCCTGGCGTGCCATGTCTCTCCAAGTGGGTTGTCTGCTCCAGGCCAGGAAGACCACGTCATAAAGGTCTTGCCTTTCCCAAACGCCTGGCACCACACCACCTCAAGGTCCAGAGGTGAAGGAGGGGAAGCCAGAGACAGTGAACTTCTAAAGCACTGAGCAAGGATTATCTGGTACCCCACAGAATGTAGGTGAAGTTGAATGAAGTGTAACAATCAGTTCTAGCCATCCCAGGAGATTGCAATCCAATCTCTGTTCTGTCCTTCAGAGGACAAAACTGGTAAGACTACAACTTTAGTCACCAAAAATCATTTCTGCAACATGGTTACTGAAATGAAGCCTGGCCCAGTTTTCTACTGCATTCCTCATTTTATGAACAGATTAGAAGGAATAAATTAAATGGGCTCCATAGTTACATCTTAGCACAACCACTAAATAATAAATCTACCTTTGTATTTCTAAATACCTGCATCACACTGTCAACATTTTTCTGCATAGTATCCAATTTAGAGAATTCTCTAAAATGCTTAGTATAGACATTAACATTTTAGATGAAACAGCCTGAATAAAGTACAATGTATACTTCTGGTATTAAAAACAAATTCATGGGGCTGGTGAGATGGCTCAGTGGTCTAAAGCACCTATTTGAACAAGCTTAGCAAAGCAAAGGGACCACGGTTCAATCCCCCAGCACCACATGCCAGCCAGCCGCGCCCTCTGGTGGCCTGAGCTGGCCACACACACACACACACACACACACACAAAAATAAAAATTAAAAAAAAAAAAAACAAATTCATGTGCAACTTAACATGAAACAAAGTTATGTATAAATCATCTTCCCTGACCTTCACTTCAATTTGAAACTAGCTCCAAGGAAAACACAAACCTAAATTTCAGGAGCACCCGAGCCTTGTGGCATTCTGAGTACACTGTGATAGCCAAGCACTTATCTCTTAATATCCAGGACGGATCGGCAGTTTGAAATGTCCCTAAGATACATAGATGGGGAGAAAAAGAATCATTGTTTTCTTATAGTGAGAGAATAAATGCATTGATTTATCTGAGAGCTCTAAGCCACAGAGTAATTCATAAGGGCATCTAAGCTGAAATTTTATTATCTTACCATCAGATATACATTTAATACAATCATTCTGAATATACTAGTGCAGTTTTTTTAGCAAACTTCATCTATTTATAATTAATGACATATAAAGTAACTGTGAGCACCAGGTGCTCCTTCTTGGCATGACTGAATTAATTCTACATCTGTGTTCTTTTCGACCTGGCCTTGTACCCCTTTATTCTGGATGAGCTTTTAATGCTGCTTTCTCTCACAGACTACCTGCACCAAGACTGTGGATCTGTCTGACCACTTCATTCCCAGGCCCTTGATTTCCTTCATATCTCTGACCCTGTAACTAGCCAGACAGCAGCTGGCAAAGACAGACTATTACTCCGGCACAAGAAGTAGCTCCATATACAAAGAGGCTGACGCAGGAACGACAGTGCAAACTAGCAGGTGTGGCCTTCCTCTGCAGGGCACCCTGCCAACTCTCTGTACAACTCTGACCCTACAGATCACCTGCTTTGGCCGCTGGATTTCATACTCTAATCTACAGAGATGGGAGCCACATGGACTCATTGATTAATGGTATTTCAGGCACACACACCTTGTAGGAGAGAATGTTTTGAAAAGCATAGTAAGTCTATACAAGAACTCTACGTGCAAAGAGATTTGCCTCCTAGTAGGAAAGGTGTCACACACCTGTAAAAAAAAAAAAAAAAAAAAAAGGTAAGCTGAGAAGGATCTATAAGAAGGGTACAGGACAGGTGCTACAAGTACTTCAAAGCTGGATCTGACCAAGGGGAAGACACTAGCAAGTGTTGGGCAGTAGCTGTGCAGAATTCTGAGTTTCCTAACTCCTGTTTCAGCACAGGATACTTGTGGGAGACATACAGGATTCTGATTAATACTTCTACCTGACAAAGAGATCTATGTTTCGAAGAGCTTTTGGAAAAGGTCTACTGAAGAGGGGCATCATAGTCAAGGCATTTCTAAGTTCACTCCTCCAATACCAGGGGGTGAATGTGAGGACTTGGAGAAGAGGCAGAAGATATCCCAGATGCAGAAAGCAGTATGAGCAAAGGAAGGAATCCACTTTGGCTTGAGCAGAAGTGATGGAAAGGGGAAGGAAAATAGGCGGGCCTAGGGGAGCTGCATAAAAATTCCATGAGAAATTAAAATAAGCCACAAATTGTGGAACCGAATTAGCTCCAATGTTAAACAATCCATCAAATATGAGGTCTACCTGATAGCAGTTTTTAAGCATAAGGCCATTTTTCCACTGATCCAGCCATGCTTACATCTAGGGCCATGCCTAGACTAGGGCCACGCCGAGTAGTAAATCTGGACCAAGGCAACACATGGCCCGGTACCTGATGGCTGCAGCTCATCTGCTGCGTCACTGTGAACAAGTTATTCTACACTGGGTCTCTATTTCTTAACGGAGCAAATTAGGGACAGCTAATCTTTGTAATTCATTCAGCTCCCAAAATCAGAGATTGTAGCTTGAGAAGCCAACGTATCATGCTGCTCCCACCAGCAACCTGATGCTGTATCCTGAACATGAAATCCAAGTTCTTAACTCTCAGAAATGTGATCAAAGGGTGTATGGTTTATGGTTTATGTCTGGTTGTCCCCTCCTGAAGCCTCATGCAGTCGCTCGGGCAGCTTCTAGAGGTTGATTAATTCATGATCCAATGCTGTGACTATGGGTGGGAGTGCTACATCTGCTCTGGGGTGGAGAGCCTGAATACAATACAAGGGAGAGAGAGGGGCTTGCTAGCTACTGCTCCTCCCATTTCTGCTCTTTTCTGTTTTCCATTGGCATGAACAGCTGCCTTCTGACATGGGCCACTCTGCCTTGGAGCCAGCTGAGTATGGACTGAAATCTCCACTAACTTTGAGCTAAATAAACTTTTTCCTTCCTTCATTTTGTGTGTTGGATATTTTGTCCCAGCAACGAGAGAAAAGTAACTGAGACAAATGGTCAGCAGGTAAGTAAGCATGTTTTTCTTAGGAGGCAATGCCTGGTTTAACACAGACCTGCGTCTGCCTACTAATTAGCAACTTGCTATGCATACAGTATTTTTAAAAGAGGGAACAATATGCATAAAAAAGTGAAGTCAGGAGTCCAGAGGTGGATAAGAATCAGGGAACTGTGTCAACAGGTTCTCAGCAATGCCAGAGAATGGAAGACTATAAAAAATCACCAGCAATATTCACAGCACAAAATTTACTTGCAACAGTTGCTTAGGAGCATCTGTCAAGCTCAGACTATGGAAAGGACTCCACAGAGGAAACAGGATTTGAGTAGGGCCCTAGGAAGACTGAGATTTATGTGAGTAGCCAGGATCAAATAAGGCAACCAGAAGAAGATGTCATGCTAAGAGCTGGCCCACCTGTACAGCATGCACATGCTCAGCAGAGAAGAGGACAAAGTAGCCAAGTGACAGGTGGAAACAGACCTAGATCCAACTTGCCATTCTGGCATCCCTAACTGTGACCCTAGTCCCCAGTGGCTACTTATCCACAGAAGGTTCAATTTTCCCATCTGTTATATGGTCCTCACTTTATTGGAAGGGCAAATGACAACACACATGTAGCATTTAAAACAGTTTGAGTGATATGGGATTATTTCTCATGGTTGGTGTCATGACTATTACTATATTATCAGATAAGAAAATATAATTTAATGAATATATTAACAGTTTTCCTGCTACAGTGACAGGTGGGCTTTTCTCCTGGGGCTGTCTGATGGGAGTTATGTGGGCAGCTGGAACAAGCAGGTGGTAGAAAAGTGACAGTATAATGAATTAAACTCAGATTACAGGGACTGAGAAGCCAATGGGAAAGCCAGGTTCAGTGTATGGTCTATCTATATTATAGATAAATATAGTCTTTTAGTAGACGTTCACAAGGGGCCAAGTGTCAGCTCCTGGCTTGGCCATGAGAACCTGGCAAGAAAATAAAACTCATCAGAAACATCCAGAGAAAGTTGGTGGGGACTCACACACAGGCAGAAAGACTAGCCTGACCTGAACTGATCTCCGCAATGCCTACTTCACTGGAACTTAAGACGCTCACAGCCTCCTCTGTGTGGCTTATGCAGGAATGCTGACATTAATCACCTCCACAGAAACCACAGTCCTGCATTCTCTATTAGAGAGTATTAATACTAAACGGCTGGTTGAGAAAAGCCAGAGATATCCAGCTAAGAGCTCCACTCCCTTCTTGCTACACACTGCAGGATACAAATTGAGAGCGTGCCCTTCTCTACTTTAAATTTCCTGGGGCTGGAGCTTTGTCCAACAATTTCATTTACATAGCATACTTGCAATCATTTTCTTAAGCCTCCTACCCATTTCTCTGGAATAATGGCACTTTGGTATTTTATTGTTATTTTGTTGTTGCTTTGCCTAAAGGAATTACACTGGAATTACTGTATACATAATCCACAATGTAAACCCATTATTTAAAAGGAAGTCGCCTTGACCATTCAGGATAGACAATGGGACAGAGGCTTCAGTGACACCTGGAATGAGTCACATCATTAGCAACCAACTCTGCTCTACTATGCCTCTGCCCAAAGGGCCAACCTGGGGCCTTCCGATGTGCCTCCTAGAGGTGCTATGGTAGGCAAGGGAGGGTACAGGTCCAGCCTCTTCAACTAGGCTTGCAGTTAAGGTCTCAACTGAGACCCTAAATCAAATCAAAGGCCCTGGAGCTGAAAGACCTAACTCACTGCACCATACTGAGGCCCAGAGTCAATGCTCCCACTCAAGGTCACCCAGACAGCAAGAGCTGGGCCAGGGTTGGATGCCTCCTTGTAGCTTCCAAACTGGGTGATGTTCGCATACCCCGGGGCTATCAGCCTTTCAGAGGTGTCAGTATCATGTCTGCAAGGTGCCCAGAAGTGCTCTGAAATGCTTGAATACAGTGCAGTTCTTGGTTTGAAAACTACTGTCTCGAACTGCATAGTGACAGAGAACAGGTGTAGGAGGAAGTTAAATGTTCTTTCCTTACTATCAAGAGTGCTAGATGACTAAAGTTTTATTTTTCACAACACCAAAAAATAGTATCACCAAACATAGTTACATATCTCAACGCACCCAGAACCATCAGGAGAATTTGGTTTGGTTGGTTTTGCTGAGACAAGGTGCCACCTTGTCATCCAGGTTGGACTCAAACTCACAATCCTGCTGTCTCAGCACCACACATGCTGGGATTAGTAGAGTCTTGAGGTTTTCTCTCAAATACTGTGAGCCCATGGGGTGGGAGAAGTCTTAGACCTTAGTTCTCCCAAGGCTGTGGGAGCCTGCACATTATACCTGGCCTGTGCACTTTGGGAATGATGCTTTACCATGATAAATGCTGGTCAGAGAGATCTCAGCAACTGGTAAGGAAGGGCAGCAGTGGGGAGCAGAAAACAGATGAGGAGGGAAGAAGGTAAAGAGGAAGAGAAGGAAAGAGAGCGAGAGGGGAAGAGCAAAGGCATGGACAGTGACACATGATGGGGATGGAAGGGCATGACAGGGAGTGGAGGGGACAGGAAGGGAAGGAGGATAGAAGAGAGAGACAGAGAAGGAGGGAGCAGGGAGAGAAAGGAGGGGGAAATCCAGGCTTCTGTATTATCAAAGCACTCTGCATTCCACAGGTCAGGGAGCAACGGACAAGGCTTCATGCATGCAGTTGTCTATTAAGCTAATGGTTCTAGAAGATCCAAAGTGTTCAGTTGCACTTTTCTCAGGTTTCATAAAGTAACCATTTGCCTGTATATGAGAGGCTAGAAAAGCTAGGAGAACTGCTTTCTGGAAAAGGTGGTGAGATTTACCCCATGAGGGATAGAAAGGTAAAATGTTCTACGCTCACCACCTACTGCGATCTGCGTTCCAGGTCTCACCTGTCCCGGTCCTTCTCTAGGGCCTCCACTTCAGTTTCCAGGCCAGCCAGGAGGTCTGACTGCTTGCTGCTGCTGCTGCTCTGCACGGCCTGCTTCTGCCTCTGCTCCTCACCCTGTGGGCCCAGGGTGCCGTGCTGCTGCAAGGCCGAGTGCCTGCGCCACAGCTTGGCCACCGCCTGCTCCAGGGCCTCCTTCTGCTGCTTCTCCTGGGACTCCAGAATCTCCTTCTCCTTTTTCCTCACTTTCTCCTCTTGTCTCGCAATGTTGGTGGTGAATTCGAAGGTGGCCTGGAGCTGCTGCAGCTGACGGGCACTGGCCAGGTGCTGGGCAAGCTGCTCTTCTTTCGCTTCCATTTCTTTTTCCACCTCATACAGAGTGTTGTCCAAGCTGAGCAGGCCCTGGTCAAGGACTTCCACTGCTCTCCGCTTCTCTTCCAACAGAGCTGGCCGGTGATTCTGCAGGAGGTCCTGTAGCTGCCGTTCTTTATACCGCAGCCTGTATTCCGCTGCCTTCATTTTCTCTAAATCGCGAGCCACCCAGGAAATACTTGGGCCACTACCATCATTGTTTGCTGGCAACCTGGAGTCTGTGTCCTTTTCACACTGCAAGCATTCCAGGGCTTCCTGCTCATCCTGGACTTCTTTACTCAGGAGGTCTTCCTGCTGGGCCAGCTCGTGCTCCGCAGTGGCCAGCTGGACTAGCTGCTTTCTCTTGAACTCTAAGAAGCGCAGCTGGCCCTCATCTGGCCCCTGACTGCCTTTGTCCCCTTTGGCTGGGCCCTCCCTGGCGTGCAGCAAGGCCTCCCGGATGCTCTCCAGCTCCCTTTTCTCCTCCTGGGCCTGCAGGACCTCGCCCCACTGCAGCGGGGTCCGCTCCCGGCTCTCCCGCAGCTGCTCCTGCAGCTGTGCCACCAGCAGTCTCTGCTCCTGCTCCTGCTCCTCCAGCCTCTGCTTTTCCAGGGCCAGCTTGTTGCATTGCTCATCTTTTTCCCGCTGCAGCCGGCCCAGCTCCTGGAAGATCTCCATCTTCTCGGCCTGCTCGCTGCTACTGAGTTCCTGGAGCCAACGGAGAAAGCTCTCTTCCTCCTGTCGCCTCTTTTGCAGCTCAATCTCCTGCTGCTCACGCAGCCTCTCCTCCTCAAACTTTTCCTTCTCAGCAAGCAGGTCCTTGAGCTTGTTCTCAATGTGGAAGCTGCGGCGCTTGAGGCTCTCCTCCTGCTTGCGAATCTCACGCTTGACAATTTCAGTCTCCTTGCGCTGCGTCTCCACCTCCTGCTGCATGCGCTCCAGTGCTGCTTTGTCCGACTTCTGCTTCTCCTCCATCTCTTCTATCAGCTTCCTGAAATGCAAATCCAGACCCAACATTACCGCTTCACTACATCAGATGGTACGTCCATTTGAAAACACATAAGCAACGTAAAGCCAAACTCTTCATTACAATGACACAGGAAGTATGTTCCCTCCAAGTTTTCAGGAATGTGGTCTTTACATTTTTTACTGTTTAACTGTTCAGTGCATCCTCTGGTTACTCTCCTGAAGTAACCTCTGATACTACTGTTTGTGGCAGTTGGAATCATACTGTGTCATGTATATTTTTAAAAACCTGAGTTCGAAGAAAAAGAACAATGTCCAATTTAAACCTAACTTCAATGTGAAGAATTTTGTCCAGCTCAAAGAGTAAATTTCAAGAAGTTCATTACAAGATGCCATGAGATAAAAATGCTATGTTGTCTTCAACTCACTAGGGTCAAATACCAAAGTCAAGATAATTGACAATTCACTGATCCAGCTCAACTAACTACATGCTACTTAGCACTTAATCACTAGTTTAGGACAAATGGTGATCACCAAATGGTCCAAAAGATTAGTTTACTGATGCATGACACTGAAAATAACTGGAAAACCCCTTAGAATACTCAAATGCACAATTCCGGAAGTGACATGCTACCTCATGGAGTGCTATATCAGGTTTTGGGGGTCAGCATAGCCTCTAAAGTAACACTAGAGAGCAGGGCATGGATGTGTGGATGGCTTCCACCTCCTGGCCACCACACATCTGCCCCATATGGTGCCAGAAATGAAATAGTCATGGGACATTTATGCTTCAGATTCTAAGGGGCTAATCTGAAGACTTTCTATAGTTTAGTTTCTACACCAACATGTATACATGGCATACTTTTTAGCCTTTTAAACAGGAAAGAAAAAAGAAAGGGAGAGAGTACAGCTTTATTGAGCAAAGATTTCAGAAGATACACAGTACTCTCCAAGGCCATCAAACAGCCAGACCAGACACATACGCATACTCCGAAGGAAAAATGAGGGCAAAATACAAAGAGTGGGTTACAGACAGAAAATACAAATGGAACAATAATAAAAGGGAGGTGTTTAAAAATGAAGGATCGGGTAGGAAGAAAGGGAAATTATTTTGATTTTGCATTTAATCTTTAGTCATTCTTATGGCCTTTCAAAAATAAATGGAAGGGATACTAAGAGAGGGCTTCTGAGTTAAATTCAAACAAATATATAATTGCTGCATTAAAGTAGTACAGCGAATCTCCTTATTGACTCTATTCCCTCATTCTTACAACATGAAGTAAAGCAAACCAGTTAAAATGAAGTCACTACTACAGGAGACAAGTAAATTGAGACATGCAGGCACTGAAATAGATGCAATGGAGGGGGTACAGGATATTCACAGGGGACCCACAAACCTTGAGCCCCATATACCATACCTCTTACTCTCCAATTTTTCAAGTTCTTCACGTTGTTGTCGTTCAAATTCAAGTCTAATGAAATGAAATGAAAATCAGTTACGTCTTTGAACGTTTATCTGTCACTCTATATAAAATCATATATTATAGACAGCACTGGTTCCTCATTAGTTTTTAATTACCATGGATTAGCAAGTTTAATATACACATTCTTTGCTCTATGACTGTGATTAAAAATTAGACATATTTCTGGATGCTTGAATTCATACTGAAAAGGATAAATTTCACTTGACAAAAAACAAACAAATGTCACTATATCTTGAAAGAACAGAGTTACACATAACTTCTAAATAACAAGCATTATCTACGTCATGCAGCTTAGCCACTGATGAGTATGTAAAAATGTCGGATCTCTACCTTAGACAGATGGGTCCTTTTACAGGGAAAAGACTGCCAGGGGATAGAGAGAGAGAAAGAGAGCACAGACATCAATTAAGAAAATAATTTTACAAGGAAACATCAGGAGAAAAGCAGTAAGGTACTTAAAAGACAATAGCCATACACAAATTGAGAGATCTCTTTCTAAATATTGCTTTTCAAAATTCATGAAACAATCCACAAAGTTAGCTCTGTTATGTTTGGCACATTTCTCATGATAATCACCATATGGAAAGTAACTGAATACCAGTAATAATGAACAGTATATACACAGGTATGCTGCTTACAGGTTTGAGAGCCTCCTGTAATTAGTAGCTAGGTGACATAGGACTTCCTGAGGCATTTGGATTATGATCAGATTTATACACTGGCAACAAAATAAAAGGAGGCAGATTGTTGGAAATCTTAGCTCATTAAAATATTGATAACACAAGCTGATTTCCCAAATACCGTATTTGATTATTGTAAGGCTGCACTAATCCTATTAAATGCCATGAACATTTTAAGCTTATTATTTCCCTATTGTTATAAACAGAAGACACAGGGACTGAGGAGATGGCTCAGTAGAGTAAGTGCTTCCCTGGCAAGCGCAAGGGCCTGAGTTCAATCCCTGGTTCCGCAATAAATAAATAAGTAAATAAATAAATAAATAAATGACACAGCTGAAAAGCTGAACTATAGGAAAATCCACCATAATTTGTTTTCCTTGGAAAAGTGCAAATCCAAATTGTTCAAGAGTTACTTTTATAATAATTAACAAATACTTGAACAGGATCTCTTTTCATCCTAATATGGGCTGACAGTGAGAATAAGATGCCTCACAGCTTTTATAAGCAACACAGCATGTCTCTGACAGTGTGACATACCTACAACACACGTGCCACAGTGGGCTGTTTATATCCCTGCAAGCTCTAAAAGGTTCACCATCACTGGTACATAGCAGGTACTGTACCAATTCACACATCTTATCTTCCTTTACAAACCTGTGGGAGGCACAATAACTCTGGGCCTTGAATACCGTTGCAAGTGAGTCTTTTCCTAAATCCTGTGAATCTGCCACATCATGACTCTGTGCCACATATCCCTTAATGGTCACCTGAGTGCCTCTGACCTATAAAATTCTCTTGGTGCATCAGCGTCGTTAGTGATGCTGACTTCTTCTTCCCCTACCTCTGCTGAACTAAGCTCCTAATTCTTCTTACCCCGCCTATTTCCCATAAGTCTTCTGCTATGCCCCAGAGGTGGGACTTCCAGTCATAGCCCGGTTGCCTAGTTACTCGCGCCTTTTAACCACCAACATCATTTCCCTATGCCTCCACTATATATACCCAGAGTTTCCTTTGAATAAACGAGACTCGATCAGAATCCTCTCTTGTCTCCTTTTTTTGTGTCTCCTGTCCCTTCTCATCCCTACTCCCCCTCTAGGGTCCTCGTTGACTAACCCGCAGGTCGGGACACAAACCCACTGAGAAATTCTAAGGTAGCAAATGGCATCTTCATTTCACAGATGAAAAACCCAAAGCTTGGATATTTCAAATAACTTATCCAAAGTCATGGAAGAAAAATCTGGTGGAAACAACTTTAGAACCCCCACCCTCCTACCTCCAAAGTACCCTGTATTGACTCAACTTATAAGCAATGTTCAAGTTGATGATGCAACATGCGTGTGCTAAGTCCACTGAAATTTATTATCTGGAGTTGTATTTAGCCCACTGTCAAATGAAAATAACCAGCAGCCTATTACAGATATTGCTATTCATGTGAAATCAGTCATGTCAATATATACAAAAAGCTTTTCTGGCCATGAAGTTCAACCCATATGCTATCCCATTATGTAGGTATAGGGCTTCATTAAAATTGAACAACTTAAAATTTTAAAAAGTCAATCTGATTATTTTATTTCACAGAATCCTTGTTAACTCCATAATTGAATTTTAGACTTCATATTTTCATAGTCAGAAAGTATTACTGGAAAAAATACTTTTAAAACCATAGAATTTCCCTAATGGAATTGGGTTTATGCTCAGTTTTCTTCCTGTGAACAACAGTCCGATGCACCCAGCAGGAGTTCTCTTGCCAACCTCACATCCCTGCAGCTAGGCGGCCACAGCGGGAGCTGGGCCTCTGAAGGAGAAGGCACCATCCGAGGTGTGGTTACAGCATGGGCCCCCTTTTCATCAGGTTCTGGGCCTCATACCAGCTATACTTTACTTCTTGCTTGTCTCCTAACTTCTGGAGGTGGGAGGTGGCCACTCTCACCATCTACAAGTACAAAGCGTGAAACTGAGGCTTAGGGTAAATGAGTGGCAGAGGAAGGACACACTCAGGTTCAGTGCTAAAATCTACACTGCAGACCACTACAATTGTTTGGGAGCTGAGTGGCCTCAAGGAGGTCATAAAATTTGTAATACCTCCTATGACATTTCATTGGGCACTTACTTTTCTCACTGAGTACAGAAGTCAGGCAACATATTACACTTTTTTGTTTGTTTGTTTGTTTGTTTTTTGGTACTGGGGATCGAACTAGGGACCCTGCCCTTGTCAGGCAGGTACCTATGCTGCTAAGCTATATCCCCTGCCCATTATGTGAAAGGATATAGCAATTTGTAAGGTATGGTTCCTGGATAGTCTGTGATAGTGTGTCATTCAGAGGGGGTACTAATCCTGGAATGCAGAGGGTTTCTGTTTCAGGTCCCACCTGTGGCATTCTTTCTCTATGATACAGGAACTCAAGGAATCCCAATAAAACCAGATTCAGGATTGTGATGGGACCAATGCTAAAACACAAAGCCCTAAAGGACAAGAGAAATCGGACAGATAAAGGTCTTGGAAGTTAAGACTATGAACTTTATTCTAAAGATGGGCTGTATCTTGGATAGCATTGCTGAAGGGTACACACAAAGGAAGTGTGTAGAAAACAGCTGTTCAGGGAGTGATGTGGAAATCCAAGACACAAATTAGAAAGCCCTTTCTGCATCTTAAATAACAGTCAGTGGAGGCAGATTCCAAGACAACCAGGATAAAGAAACAAAAGCTCTTCTCTATTTAGGAGGTTGACAAATTTAGATAGCTGGCTGGATTTTGATAGGGGCAGGGACAAGAAAGGAAGAGTCACAGATGAGCCTCTGCTTTCTGCCAGAGTAGAGAGAGGATGGAAAGGTGAATTTTTTTAAGTGCCTAGAGGCCAGCAAATATGAACACAAATTCCAGTGGATGTGAGGCTTTGTATGAGTTAGCTAGCTTTGGACACTTCATTTTTATGGAACTTAAAGAATAAGCCCTACTCCAGAGTACTATAGCCAGGATTGGGGGAGATAAACATATGTACAATTTTGCTGGGTGTCAACTGCCATTGTTAGCTTGAGAGTCACTCTGAATGTTCTGGCTCAGAAGGATGAGGAGAGTTGAGGGAGGTGGCAGTGGGGAGGGAAGCAGTGGTAGCTGTCAAGGGCAGGCACCAAGATGATAGGGCCATGTAGGGCTTAACACCCACTGCAGCTATTGACCAACTCACTCCATATTTGGTGCTGCTCAGAGTACTTTGGATTTAGCTCCTACACTGACCCTATCCTGCCTTCTGGAAGGAGACCTCTGTTTTACTCCCAAAGAGTTCCAAGGATCATCCCAATTGCAATGTTCAGAAGGAAGGGTAAAATGGACAATGATCTGGCACTCATGCCCTTAGTAGAACTGAAGGTTTAGATTTGGGATTTGTATCAAGTGAAGCCTCAAGAGTGGGTGAGGTTACCCAGACATGTGGGAAGAATGGGAAGTCTGAAAGACCACAAGTACTGCAGACACTGGAGGAAAACAACGAGCCTCAAATAAGGATAGTCAGACAGAGGACAGGAAAGTGCAGGCACATGAAGGCAGAGTAAAGAGGAGACTTCAATGAGTTGGTGGTACTAAGTGACTAAGCAGTGTCACTTAGTACTGCACAGGGTGAAGCGAGTACTACCTAAGTAACCATGCTGCCAGATGAGCTATCCATACAGAATCACCCAAGACAGCAGCAGCACTGAGAAAGGGGGTGAAAGACGCTGGAGGAAATAGCTGGGAGAGGAGACCATGCCTAGAACACGGAGGTCACATGGAGTAGCTTGTGTCTGGCCAAGGCCTGCCAGAAGGCAGAGACGGGGAGAACAGTGTGGCAGAGAGTTTCCTCAGTGGTTTTACTTGTAAAGGGGAAGTGGTAGATTTAGGAGGCTGATGTTCTTTTTGACAGATGAGAGACAGGTGCCTATCTGACTCCAGGATAAAGAAGCTAGGAGGGAGGAGCTGGACAGAAAAAACTGGTAAGAAGCTGATGATCTGATGCACAAAGGGCCTCAAGAAAGCAGAGAAGAGAGAACGTACCTCAGGGTAAGGGGTCTAGTGCCAAATGAATTCTAGCTCAGGCACAAACATGGAAGAATCTCTTCAGCTTTCTAACCCTTAGTTTCTTCACTAAAATACAGATCAAAACTTAATCCTGGTTTTCTCTAGGTGAGAGGCTCCCATCAGAGTACACATGAGCACTGTGCAGTGAATAAATGCTATAAGCTATCAGTCCTACAGGTGGCTGTAGTTACTCTGAGAAAAGCAAGCAAGTGCTCCGTCTTTGGGACAGGAAAGAAGGATAAAAGGGTATTGCAAAGCAGATCTGAGATATGAAGGTGCTATTCTCTTAGGCTTCTACATTCTGTGAGGTTAGAAACAAGGGCCTCTGCTAAGAGCAAGAAGACAGATGGTAGGGTTGCAGGGACAGGGAGATAATTTATAATAGGTGAAAGGGCCCAGGTCTAAGAGAATTGATAAAGAAAATAAGATTTTTAAAAATAGCCAACTGGACATGATTCAGGTTTTGAGATTATTAATTTATAGAGGCACAGATCTTTGCGCTCATGTTTTTCTCTTGTAACACAAGCTGAGGTGCCTGGACACTGACTCAGGGAAGAGACAGGTCAGTGGCTCCAGAGCTGAGACTCTTGGCAGATGACCAAAAAAGGACCACCTGAGGATTCAAAAAGCTC